TTAGGGTTAGGGTTAGGGTTAGGGTTAGGGTTAGGGTTAGGGTAAGGGTTAGGGTTAGGATTAGGTTTAGGGTTAGGTTTAGGGGGGTTAGGTGTAGGTGTTAATTTTAGGTTTAGGGTTTACAGCGTGCTTCTGTCTCCGTGCTGTTGTCGCCCTGTTGATGACGTCAGCGACGCGGTTTAGTCGAGCGCGGTTTTGTCAGTGAACCTGCAAGAGCCACCCCCCGCCATTCTCTCCCAGCCCTCTTTGCTGGCGGCTGTAGCAAATGTACCGCGACGAAGGCGGAATGCTGTTGCAATGCAAAGGCAAGTGCAGGGGCGCTTCACTCCCGCACTAAGGCTCCGACCATGCCATTGCCGTGAAAACACGACAGCTCTTTCATCCCTCTGCCATGACAGGGAGCCACAGCCGAGGGCTCAAAGAGCCGCATGCGGCTCCGGAGCCGCAGGTTGCCGACCCCTGGCCTAAGGAGATACAACTGGCAGGACCCAGGAGAAGAGCCTTCTCGGTGGTGGCTCCCTCCTTTTGAAATATCTCTTCAGAAATTAGATGGGCTCCCACTTTGATGTTTTTTCCTAAGGACCTGGAAACTCATTTTTTTCCAGCGGGCCTGAGGAACTCAAAAGTGGGATGGACCTCATCAAATGCTTCATTTAACTGTTTATTGTTGCTCGGGGGTGGTGGTGGTTTGGTGAGGGGTTATTGGTATTTTTATCTATTTTATTTATTTTATTTTACTTTATATTCTGTGTTTTTAATGCTTGCAATAAAACGTTGCTATGAGTGAGTAGGTGGCTATATACATTTTCTAAATAAATAACCTGAAATTTTCTGACAAGTGAGGGCAATCAACCAATGGAAGAGAAGTTGCCTCCGGAAGTTGTGGGTGCTCCATCACTGAAGTTTTTTAAAAGAGGCTGGGCAACCATTTGTCTGAAATGGGATAGGGTTTCCTGCCTGAGCAGGGGGTTGGACTAGAAGACCTCCAAGGTCCCTTCCAACTCTGTTATTTTGTAACCCTGTCTATATCAGACTGGCATGAAAAGAGCCAGAGTTGTGTTGAGATACCGTATTTTTCAGCGTACAAGATTTTGAAGAGGCACATTTAAAAAAAAAAAGTTTTTGCACTCTACACACCTCCCAGAAAACGGCTACGTTTTTTTGTCCCAAAAAAAAGGGTATGCATAACCTTTAGGAGGCTTATAGAGTGTTCCTTGGGGTTGGAGGGGGGCAAAAATGAGCAAAATACTGCCCATTTTTTGTCAACAAAAGGGAAAGCATAGCATTTAGGAGGCTTATAGAGTGCTCCGGGGGGCTGAGGGAGCAAAAACGAACAAACAACGGCCCATTTTTCGCTCATTTTAGCCCTCCCCAGCCCCCAGGAGCACTTTGGAAGCCTCCTAAAGGCTATGCATGGCCATTTTTGCAAAGCGGGCGGAGTTTCAAGAGGCAAAAAATGCTGTATTCTGTGTATAAAACACATCCAGATTTTCACCCTCTTTTCGGAGGGAAAAAGGTATATCTTAGACCAGTGTTTCTCAACCTTGGCAACTTGAAGATGTCTGGTCTTCAACTCCCAGAATTCCCCAGCCAGCATTCGCTGGTTGGGGAATTCTGGGAGTTGAAGTCCAGACATCTTCAAGTTGCCAAGGTTGAGAAAACACTGTCTTAGACTGTGAAAAATATGGTAAGTGGCTTTACAAATATTTTAAATTAAATAAATAATGAAGGAGAGATGTCCAGGGCTCTACCTGTTTTCTCAGCAGGCCAACATCTTGCTGGCACTCTTCTTCTTCCCAGTGGGTGTCCAGATAATCCCGAATATTTTCCCTGATGTAAGGAAACAAAATATCCTGGGAATACAACAAAAAGATATTGGTGTTTTAAGCTACTGTGGACATTTGTTTGGAAACAACATTGGACCCTCTGGGCATCTTCAAAAGGATTGATTATCCAATACTATTAATTTAGTCACTTCACCAAAATCTCTACAATTTAATTCTTGGAAGAGAAATTTAAACACATGTAGCCAGGGAAAACAGTGAGCCTACTTAGTGGGAACAAAGATGAAAAAGAGACAGAATCTTTTTGAGAGTAAGCATACCTTAATAAATACAGAATTGTTTTTTGGAAGTTTTATTGTTTGTTTACTTTTTTAATTATATAAAATCTAAAAGAAAAAAGAAATTAAGGGCGGGAAAGGGAACAGTGGAGTGAGATAGAAGGGGGAAAAAGAAAGAAAAGGGGGCATTAACTTCCAACCCTTCCTAGCACGGGGTAAGATAAACACACTGCAGGCTCAACTTTTTGCTTTTACGCATTAGTAAATGTAAAAGTTCCCCTTGCGCATGTATGCTAGTCGTTCCCGACTCTAGGGGGCGATGCTCATCTCCGTTTCAAATCGAAGAGCCAGCGCTGTCCGAAGACATCTCCGTGGTCATGTGGCCGGCATAACTACACTAATAACTAACTAACTAACACCGAAGGTGCACGGAACATTATTATCTTCCCACCAAAGGTGGTTCCTATTTTCCTATTTGCATTTTTACATGCTTTCGAACTGCTAGGTTGGTAGAAGCTGGGACAAGTAACAGGAGCTCACTCCGTTACGCGGCGCTAGGGATTTGAACTGCCAAACTGCCAACCTTTCTGACCGAGAAGCTCACTTTTAGCCACTACGTCCTATACATGCTGTAAATACATGCACTCAAATTTTGAACAGCTGGTTGTTGAGATGCTGTGATTATAAATACAAAGACCGCCAGAGGTTTTCGCGGGTGTTAGTATGTAGGTCTTTGGTTGTTCGGGTTTTCTCCCGCGTAAATTTGGAAGTGTCTTGGCGACGTTTCGACAAAGTCTCATTCGTCATCTTCAGGCTTTGTGCTTCCAAGACACTTCCAATTTTACGCGGGAGAAAACCTGAACAACCAAAGACATATACATACAACCAGGGGTTGTAAAAATCTAATAGATACCTTTCACCCTGGTTTCGCTGATAACGGATAAGAGCCTGTGGCCTAATGGCTAAGAAGTCTGCCTAGTATGTAATATAGCCCAGGTTCATATCCCAGTAAGGGTATGGCTAGCTGATGAGAGCTAAATAGCTTGAAATAGATCTAT